AACAGTAGCCACAAAATGACAAGGCTGCCAATTTTTCGAGAGTTGCTTAGAAGCGAGCTGATGATGTGTTTGACTCCCTGGCGTATTGCCAGTACCAAGTTAACATCGAAAGGAATAGTGGATTTGTAAACGGAGATTGGTTATTCCATTGAGAAAGACGAATTCTAATTACTACGTGACAGCAGCGTTACACCGCACTGTACCGTACCGACACACGTAAAACAAAATTCCGAGTTAATGACTTACTCAGATCTGAAGTTACAGTTTGCATTTAGCGACACGGTTTTAATGCAATATTCCGTAAAATTCGAAGGTTTACTTTAGGTTCATCCATATTATCCGGTCAATTGGATGTCAGCTACAACAATGATCAATAATCAGTGGTGAATTAGTAGATATTCCACGTACCAAACATTATCTTGCCAATTAAAGGATTGGATTTTGTTGTCCCTACTCAAACTTGCGCTAGAATTACATTCCTTAACTGAAAACCCACGACTGCCATTGTCCTCCATCCAACACGTTTGACCAGCAAAATCCACAGCCAGCAGTACGCAAAACTTAACGTAATCCTTCATCAGGACCACCACTACGTCTGTCATCGCTAATATCATCATTACAGCCAATTAGTTCTTGCCGATGTTGTTGTTGTTGTTGTTGTTGTTGCTGTTGCTCCCATTCATGAGCTACGACGAGAACGTGGAGAGCAACTGTTCATGCTCGTTATTTTAAGTTACACATTTGATTAATGATACTGCCAAAAGCCAGTGCAGCTAGGTGGACACTGCTGCAGCATCCAGAAAACACGGCTAACAACTCTGTCCAGCAGCTCGCCGTTAAGACTTTACTATTAGCTTTGCTCGTAATGTTCTCTGTGCCACTCAAAAATTCATGCTTTTTGCCTTTGAAGTTGACAGCAGAATTTGTTGCTAACATGCACACAGGTTTTGCAGAAGCGAACTCCGACCATGAAACCACATTCCAGCTATCCCAGAGATTTTCATTCATAGCCAACTATCACAAGCAAAGCCATTTCTCTTGACAGCTCTCCGCTGACAATGGGAAGCACTATTAAAGCTATCAGGATAAAAAGTAATAAAGCGCGTTGCAGGCTTGCTAGAAGAGTGGCCTGGATGAAATCGTGCTTCTGCAAAAAGAGCAATTCGATATTATACCGGAGTGGGAAGCTCGAACAAGTTGAACAACACATACGGAAAACAGAGTTTATAAACCGTAATTTTTAAATAGATTTATTTTTTATAATTATTTTTAATATTATATTTTTATATCACGCGCTTTCGTACGACAACGCGGAATAATTATTTCGAGCACTACATATAATTGTTAAGCTCTCGCTTTTTGTTTAAAACTATCCTGGTAGTTATGGACATTGTGTTCCTAGCTTCTTTGTTAAACAACCCAATAACAGTTCTGCCATCCGATATTTTTTTAAAAAAAACGCTCTAAGTTCACGCTCTCAGCATATATAAACTAAAAATTCTCTTAGTAGGCGTTCAGCTAAAAATCATGTCTTACAAGAATCTAAACAGACAAATCATAAATGTTTCGCCACACTCAAACATGTAAAAAAATTGGTGCTTTTTTTTTTAATTGGTGTTTATTGGTGTTTTTTGGCAATCCTGCCAAATCTCTCCCACATCTTAGCAGTTTTCCCAGATTAAAAG